CAATCATTCCCACGGGCATGTGCCGCCACACCAGAGAGCCTAAAATAATCCTAACAGTGATTGCAACCAGGATTAATCTGTGCTGCACTCATAATTGCACAGTGTTTATTAAATTTTATTACCTGATTGATTCTTTTCCAAAGGTGAAGCTGAGTTGGATGATCTAGGATGATGAGGGCGAAACATCTGTTTTTCATAAAGATGCAAATAACAGCAAGATCCTATTACAGTTATTTTGAATTAATCTTGCACTTTGTATCTGGAGAACTGATTCAGAACTATGAGAACACCTTCTCCTTCCTGGTGCAGGTTAGAATTTAAATACAATTTGTTCTAAAATATTTTTTAAAAGCATTATGAAAAGAAGAGAAACAGAGAGACAGAGAGACACATACAGAATTGCGAAGTCATTCTACATGAGATTTCCTAAATTATAAGTATACTAAACAAAATTTAAGTGTCATTAACCACATGAAACCAACATTAATGCAAAAGCTGAGACTTTCCTTTATTTTAAAAAGAAAAAAATTAAAAAGAATTTCAAAACAAGGTAAGAGGAGAGTGACAATAACTAATACATTGTATATTGTTATCTTCAGAGTAATTAGTCAGAGTAGAAGATATGAACATGAGATATTGTCCAAACAATATTAGCACAAACCTTTCTTTTCAGTGAACTAAGAGAAACTAGTGGTATAACTATCTTATCTTGTTTATACATATATATATTTTTTTCTTTTTCCCTTTCTTCTTCCCTCTTGACCCTATCACAATTTCTCTTTTCTTTTGAACAGTTTCTTCCCAATTCACAGTATCTGTTGTACACTTTTGGTCCTGTTTAACTAATTTCAGCTTCTCACGCTAGTGAGACTATATGATGTTTACACGTATGGGTCTGATTTATTTCACTGATGAGTATGGTCTTGAGGAAAACCAAGATAATTAAGAACCATCTCCTCTTCCTTTGTCCTAGGAAATGGCAACTCCTCTTCTGATATGTTTATGTTAACTTTTTCTTCCTTTTAGAATATACTTTACTTTCCACAGCACCTTCACAGAGGTTTGCCTTAATTTATTGTTCCCCAGTATTAGGATAAAAGAATGACTTGAAGGGTAAATTAAGGCTATCAACTCACCAAAAATGACAGCTGATTCAGTCTCTGGCATAAAGTAGCTGGAGGTGGCTATGAGAAAGGCTAAACAATAAACAACAAAGAGGAAAAGGAAGGAGATCACTGACTTCATGGCTCTTACGTGGGCTTCTGTGCTGGGATCTCTGTGGCCTGTTGCATTCAGCTTCATCCTTCTGGTGTGTCTCCACAGGGAGAGGATCAGCAAGAGAAATGAGAACAGGGACACAGCAAAGGGGAACAACGGTACCAGGTTGATAAACACCTTGGTCATAGCGTACAGGTCTTTATTTATCCCACACCTCCGGGTGAAGTTTGCTTTCCTCCTTCCCTTGACACAAGGTCTGAAATTATCATTCAGATTCCCAGTGAGTGGAAGGCTAATGAACACAGAGAGCACCAAGCATGCCAGTAGAGTCCAGAGAATCACCCTGTCGATTCTGTACTTCATCCAGAGAAAAAGAGGGTGGGAGAAATTGGCTATCTTAAAGAAATAGAAAATACTGAGGCAAGTGGCAAATGAGACACTTAAATGGTTGGTTATGGTCCAAAACAAGTCAACTATCCTCATCTTTTCATTATCATCATAGAACTGTGGATATACCACCAAAATAGAACAATCTACCACTATTACACACAAAAGACAAATCCTGGATATGGCCAGACTCGTGAGGATTAAATCAATGGAGGCAATCTTCCTGTTCTTGATCCAATCCATGAAGTTTACCAATCCAATGAATGCATTTCCTAAGATGCCCACTGTAAACTCTCCGTATGCTATGAGTATTAACATACTCTCCTCTTTAAGTGGCGTGTTTAAAAAGAGAAATAGTCAGTGAGTTTCTGGTTGACCTGATGCAGTTTGGTATCTATAATGGCTTCATAGATTTTGCTGTAATTTCCTTTACCTTTTTGTAAAATTGTAGTCTGTCTTTTGATGAAGACTGGAATGATAAAGGAAGAATGTTGCTATCTATCTTCATTGAATCCTAATTAGTCTTGACAAGCAGTGTTGGGCAATCCTTAGCCTGGGCATAGTATGTGCATGGAGAGCAGATTGTTCTCAGCAGCTCTTTTCACATATAGTTAATTCAGGCTGAGCTACTGTTTGCAAAGATGCAAATTGAGGCAACATCCTTTTATGGAACTGCACTGTCTTTCTGAGGCTAAGTTTTACAAACTTCGATGCATACTAGTACCCTTAATGGGGTTGCCAGGTCTAGCAAATACAGACGCGAGACACCCAGTTAAACCTGAATTTTAGATAAAAAGTGAAAAACTTTTTACTGTATGTCCCAAGTTATATGAGATCAGAACTTGCAGAAAGTACTGAAGCTAAATGTAATTGAGTGTCTTACATTTTACCTGGCAAACGTGAACAAGGGAATTTGCTTGCAATTAGAAAACTGGCAAAAATTGAAATTTTGGAAGAGTCTTCATCTTGTTGATGATCATACAGTTGGTACAGAATCTAGAGTTTGGGTTCACATTGACAGTTAAATACTTTCAGGAAATTTAAAAGATTAAAGATAGCTTGGTTCTAAAACAATTTTAGCTCATTATCTTGGTGGTTCAGGTGAACATTACATGGAAAATATCCTAAAATACTGTATCATCTTATGGAGCAGGTAACGTTTATTGACAAAAGAGCCATGATAGAAATGGTCACAGATTACATTTGGAGTTTTCACTTAAAATGTTCTCAAGGAAACTTTGGGTGGTACTGAAGATGTCCTGTCCATTACCTTGACTGTGGTGATGGTATCATGTTTTCATATGTTGAAACTGATCAAATTATACACATAAACATGAAAAATTTTGTACCTCAATAAAGCTATTAAATAAAATTAAATTACGTGAAAACTAAAATGTGTTTGAGGGTAGTTGCTTATATTAGGAAAAAGAATGTAATGTCAAAAAAATGTAAAATCCTTTTTTGTCAATCAGATTTTATTGGTACATTTTAGGTATACATAATGATCACTTTCATCATAGAGAATATGCACCTGTACAAGATAGAACTTGCTTTTTCCCATTCCCCTACAACCCCTCTTCTCCTCCCCGTTTACAAAAGCTTTGTTTCCATGTATTCTTTCTTTTCTTGTTTTTTATTTTTCCCTTCCTTCCTTTTAAAATCTTTCATTTCACTACTCCAACATCTTCCATATAATATTGCATCTAAATATTTAGACCTTTAGATTTTATAGCAAGAGAAGACATATTTTCCATTCTCTACAGACTAACTCTTATTTCAAAAGAGTTAGTCTAATTTAGAGTTACTGAGAAACACTATACGATGTTATGTTTCTGTGGAATAATACTTGGGTACTCAGACCTTTCTGGAGATGTATATCTTCCCTCCTCTTTCCTTATGAAGAAATGTTCGTTTCTTCATAAGAAAATGTTCATTTCTTCATAAGAAAAACTCTAAATGTAATCCGTGACCATTTTTATCATGGGTCCTTTATCAATAAATGTCACCTGCTCCTTAAGATGATACAGTATTTTAGGATATTGTTCCATGTGATGTTCATCTGAACCACCAAGATAATGAGCTAAAATGTTCGTGCCCCATAAAGCACCCTGTAAATAAAGTGCTTACAGTAACTGTGATAATACTTTCACCAAAATACTTTTTAGAATAACTTTAAAATTTTGTTTCATTTTTGCAAATAAGTGTGAATTGTATGCATGCTGGTGTCATATAGCATGGAAGTTGAGTGAATGTTATCATTATGCAAACAAGCCTTTTATTGTACGCCTACAACCTCAAAACCCAATCATGGTAGTTACAGGAGATGCTTGAAAATCCTGAAGTACGCAAAACAAAACACAGAAAAGAAACCTCAGATTAATGAGTGAAACCTCATCAGAAGTGCTAATTCTATAGAACATTCAGAAAACTATCCAAGCATACAGTGTTAAAGCATTTCATAGAAAATATTAATATACTCCATCAAAAAGACAAGAATTGTCTGGTCATCTACAATAAATAGCAACATAAGCAGTTAGTATGTTAAAAATATAAATGGTAAAGTTTATACTAGGGGTATAAGTAAAAGTATTTTACAGAGTGAACTTTACATGAAGCAAAACAATTAAGAATTTTTGGTGATTAATATTTTAGTTAGATGGAATACAGGGAACTGAGTAGATTGCAATAGGTCAGAACTAAGAGCAAAAATGCACAACCGGAGTAAACAGGAATGATCTCAAGCATGCCAGATCAAATGTTTCAGTAATATTCTATTGAGGGAGAATTTTATTTTCATAGAAAAACCACATCTTATTAATGATTACCTTCTTTCCACCTTTCTTTTCTTTGTCTACTTCTTTCCTTTTTTTTGTAATTTATTCTGTACATGTTATGGACATACATTATTAGGGAGTTGGCGGGGGTGACAGTGTGTATTATTCTGTATTATATGTTAATTTATTCCCAATTAACTTTTGTGCTCAGTGGAAATTCTTGTCTTATTTTTTTCTTTTTTTGAGACATGGTCTTGCTATGTGGTTCAGGCTGGCCCTGAGCTCACTTTGTAGCTCAAGCTGGCCTCAAACTTTCAATGATCCTCCTGCGCAGCCTCCTGGGTGCTGGGGTTACAGGCGTGCACCACCATGCCTGGCCTTGCTTGTCTTGTTACAGAAACTGGAGTGAAACAATCCAACGCCATTTGTTACCCTTACTTGTTTGTCCAGACTGTGAGGAGCACTCAGGGATGGGTCACAGGGGAGATGCTTGTGTATGGATTCTATTCCTACCTGCCAGCTGCTTGAGAAGCAGGATACTTGTGAGGAAATTGAATTTCAACGCAAATGAACAGCAAGCACTGGAACAAGATCAACCAGGAATATAAGCTGGGAGGTGACCTCAAGCACCCGCAAGGAAAGTGAACTAGTGAGAAGGCCAACGAGCTCCTGAGGGCTGAGTCAAACCAAATGCAAGAAGCTCAGCAGAGCCATGGAGGGAGCACAGCCAAGGGGAGCAAAGAAAATTTAGACTGAAGGAAAAGAGAACCCTGTAAGTGTAGCACAGATGCAGGTCCCCGTAGCACAAAGTAAAATCTTTAAAGCAGTCCAGTACATCCACTCCCCAGCCTTCCTATTATGAGTTCTTCAATTACGATTGTAAAGACATCTTCAGTACTGAACATGTTGTGAAGAGAACAACTAGATCTCAGCTATTACTGTAGCTGGGCTAATTTATAGGTGGTCAGGTGGATTGTGGTACATAGAATTTTCAGATCATACAATGATGTTTTTGTCTGTCATTATTTTGATTTTGATATCAGTTTTGAAGTGTCCAGAAATAAGGTTATCTCTCCATTCAGGATAGCACCAACTGATTGTTCTCAATAAACGGTGTGCCTAATTTTCTGTGGCTTGGGAAAACTATAATCATCACCTTTAGTGAGTGATAACTGAAGCGTTTCATTAAAACTATTCTCATGCAAATTGAAAGAGATTTTCATTTTTTGAATTTGCAGTAGGTTTCTTGCTGTGAGTTCCATATACTCGGACCTGTCAAATTAAATTTTGAATAAAAAGGCATAGAGGGTAAGCAAAAACATATGTTTAGTAAAAATCAAAATATGTAAATGAAATTTCACTTTCATCATTGTAAGTTATAAGTTACCCACCTAAGAGAGTGGCATCTTGTAGGTGGAAAATGGATTTTGGTTATGAAAAAGATCAGTATAACTACACTGTAGAGAATTAATATTGAGTTGGAGCATAATAACTTTTGTCTTTATTTAAATAGTTAATAGAGAAGGTTATGATACAAGTCTGTGTAGAATGGTCATATTGTTTTTAGTGAGGCATACGGCAATTGTTACTAAACACTCTTTCCATGCTGTTGTCCAGTACAAATGAAAGGGGCCTGACAAAAATTTGCCTTCTCCACTTTTATTTAATATGAAAAATACCCACAAAGACAATTTCATCTGAAACATTTTCTCTTGGATAATAAACATTTTCTTCTAAAAATAAGGAAATTTGTATGTTTTATGTTATTCTAGTTCCAATAAATTTCTTTGTGTAACACTTATGACCACACAACACATGCTATGGTCATGTCTCTAGATGGAGCATACACTGTTTTATTGTGGGTTTTTGCTTTGCTTTGAGACAGGGTCACACTATGTAGGCCAGGCTGGTCTCCAACTTGCAGTTTTTCTGTCTCAGCCTCTTGAGTGCTGAGATTGTGCTTATATTACACTACATTTGGTTTTTAAAAAGTTTCTTAATCAATAACTTTTCCATGGATAGAACTAGTTCCACTATTAAATTAGAATGATTATTTTTGGGGGAAGCAACACCTAACCCACAGTTCATTTGCATATAGGTGATACAAATCAAAATAGGGTTCTTTTTCTTGTAATTAAATATTTTTACAATGCAAACCTGTGGTATATTTCTTATATCTTATATATAACATGTAATCAACACATGGTAGCCTGACATTAATAACATAAACAGACTAATTATTTCTAAACTATTACCAGAAACAAAACAGAAAATAATACTAAATGGAAAACATGTCACAGAGTCCTGAGTTAGAAGGGTAAAGGGAACATTTGACAGACTCCTGAAATTGCAATCTCCAGCTAGGGTTACTTAGGAAACACCCTGACCATCGGGACCCTTAACTTTTATTCTCAAAATGGTTCTAGGAGATGTGTTTCCATCTGTACCAACCACTTCTTCCTGGTCAACACTTACTCCTAGAGATCACACTTTGAAAGAACAATATGATTTATTATTCCAGCAGAATCTCATCAAAAACACTTATTTTCCAATCACAATCAAGATTAAACATTCCACAAATGGACAGGGTCATGCAATATAAAGATCAGGACTGCCCTTCAGGTCAGAGAAGACAGTTTATTTATACAACTGATTTTACAGAGAGTGCTAATGAGTTCTCAGATCTCTTCCCTATACTGTGTTCCCCTGAGGTTCTTATCCTTTCTGAGTTCAAGGCTTTTATCAGCAGATGGCAGGAGGAAGTGGAATCTCTTTCTATGTAGTCAAGGGTGTGCAAGGCCATCCTGGGGTTTAGATTCATTTTTCCTCGGAAGACAAGGAAAACAACGGTTCGGTGATAGCATCAGATTCAAATGAAGCAAGACAGAAGTGTGAAGGAACACAAAAGAGTCTTTAGAGTCATGTTGGGTAGTAACGATTCCTGGTAGCATATAGGAATTTGGCCAATTTCTTTCTCTTCATATGCAGTGTGTTCTTCTTTAGCATTCTCTAGAGAACAAAGGGTTTCTTTCTTCTGTCAAAACTCTTCACAAACCTTACACTTTCAGCAAATCTTTTCTCAGCTCGGTCCCCACTAGCAGGACAAGTGAGTGCCTCCGTGGGAATGTGACAACTGTTGGGCATCCGTAACTCCTCCTGGCTTTCCTTGAGGAACTAGAGCAGTAGCGGTATTACAAGAAAACCATGAGGAGGAGGAGCAGGAGGACCCCTGCCTTCATAGCCTTCTGTGGGCACCTGTGTGTGTGTGTGTGTGTGTGTGTGTGTGTGTGTGTGTGTGTGTGTGTATCTGGCTATAGAGCTAATGCTAACAAAAAGGTGATACTCAGGATAACAACTAAACGTGTGTCTCTAGGGGCAAAGAAAGTGTAGTAATGATTCGATCTGTAAAAATTGTAACAGACAGGAAGTGAGCATTAAATATGTTCACTGCTTATACCTACAATCTACAATAACCAGAAGTCAAAGAGTATAATTAATCATGACATAGCGAGTATTATAAGTATGTGTGTGTGCATGTGTGTCTGGTGTACAGCATGTGTATATGTATTTGCCAAAAGTGTAAGAAATATATTTTGGTAAAAATCAAGCAGCCTGGGAGAATGAGTGGACAGGAAGAAAGAGGAGGTTTGTTATTAGAATTGTATTATACAATCACGTAATTATATTATAACCATTGCCATTGTTGTAGAAAAAATAGGATACTGTACACTCCAGCACAGTAGGGATGTAAGGATATTATATAAAGTTAAGATTGTATTCATAGAAGAAAAATATAAACTGCGAAATATCTGAGGAGCTATGTAACAGACAAAAGATAACGCCAAATATAGTAACAAATATATAGGTAAGGGGGCATGGTGGTCCATGCTAGTAATCCTAGCAGTCAGGAGGCTGAGGTAGGAGGATCACCATAAATTCAAAGCCAGCCTGAACTACATAACCAGACCGTATCTCCAAAAAAAAATGTAAATAGGTTTATGTAACATTTTGAAAGAAAAAAGAAATTTGTACGTCATAACTTAGCTGGGGTATATAAAGAGAACTTAGCTGGGCTGTATAAAGAGAAATACTTATAAAAATTATTTGTATCTGTCCCTAAAAATAATACATATATGTACATCTAGATATATATACTCAAATGTTGATGGCAGTTCTTCCAGTATGAATTTCTAATAATTTTTTTCTTCAGATGCAACTCAAAATAATTTTTTCTTCAGATGCAACTCAAAATAATTTCCTTAACAAAAGCCTGAGTTCTTGCATTTCTTAGAACATTTATATGAAGCTCTTATATTAGATGAGTAGTTTGGTTGAACATAATATTCTTGGGTTACATTTAATTTTCTTAAAAATTAAAAAAGTTTAAGTTTTTATAGTGGAATAAATAATAAATAATGAGTTTACAATGCATGTTCCTGTGGAAAAAGATTAGTCATATTTTTGACCTTTTACAGATAACTCAACCTTTAAATCTAACTTTACCAGAAGATTTTTTTTGGTGTCTGTCCCAGTATTAACTCCCAGTTTGTTATACTTGGTGATGTGGTATGTTAAAATATATTCTCTTCAAATATTTTTTTTTATTTTCTGAATTATTTATTGAATTATACAATTGTATATGTATCACTTTCAACTAGTTTACTTTTCTGCTTTGGGTACTTAATCTATAGATATGTCTCTTTTAGGTGTTCAATATTTTTACTTAAATCTTTTGAGTTCTTTTAATTCTACATTTCATTTGCTGGCCTGACGTCTACTCTGCATTTCACTTGCTATCTTTTTCATCATATTTATAGACACATTGCCCAGTGATTTCTGTTTCTGTGACAGTTCTGTTCTTTTCTCTTTTCCCCCCGAGTTCTTATCAGTTTAAGATGAGTTCTTAATTTATAGCTTTCTGATAGATGATTATTTCACTATTTTAAAAATATTCATATGAAAATTTTGGTCAAAGTTCTCATCTGCTCTGAATCAATATTTCTCTTGTGTCTGACACTTGTTAGTGTAACTTTCATATTAATTTTTCTTTTTATACTTATCTTTATATGGTATGGTGATATAATAATTTAATGAGTTGCATGATTTGGAACAGCTATTTGAATGTTTTCTGTATAGTTTCCATGATCAAAGGCTCCGCATTTTCTCTGTTTCTTCCTACCCAGGCCAGATTCTACAAATAGAATTTATTTAAATAATGTTTTAAATATCCTTGTCTTCTTTTACCTCAACCAAATGAGGCGTAGCAGGGCTTTGGCCATGGGCTATGCTTAGCAGTGTTCTTATACTCAGTGGTGCAAATGAGTGATAAAGATTTTGCATTTCAGCATGTGTTTCTCACACTCACGAGGGGTATTTTGACTGTTGCTTTCAGCTGTTGTAGACTCCCCATCCATGTCTTGCTTCCTTTCCTTTTTTTTTTTTAGTACTTCTTTTTACTCAACTTTTGTCTGATTGAAACTGCTGTGGACAGTTCTCACATTTATCTTAGAGTCAGCACACTGTATGTTTCCTGGTTTCACCCATATTTTTATTTTCTTCTTCAATTTGTTCTGGTTTCTAGGATAAGAAGAAAAATATTGATTTTACCCTTAATTTAAATTATATATATATTTACTTTACCTAAGAAACAAAGTTAGAGACATGAGTTATATGATATTCTAGTCCTTGGGAAAAAGAGTCAACATATGTTTTAGAAAATATATGTCAAAGCAGTTTTATTTTAGCAGTGAAAAATTTTTCATGAACTCTTCTACAGGATGAAAAAGAGGGATTAACTGAGTCCACCCTGAGTGGTTTAGGAGACCCTGTCTCAATCCACCAGTGGCTTTGACCCTTGAAAGGCAGCATAGCTAACTGAAGAAAATCAATAGCACACATTTTTCTGCTTGTGCAAACTGTTCATTTTGCTCCATTTTTTCTTTTTCTAAGTACCATAATATTTCCTCTTAACTGCATAAAAATTCATATTGCACAGTGAAGTTAGGATTGCAGAAAAGGCTTTCTTTCTCCCACCATCTGCACCTACAAGTTAAACACACATGAGCACGTGTGCACACACACACAATTACTATTGTTATTGTTAATGAATACTGTATTGAGAAATCTGATAATAGCCTCATTTGTCTCCTTCTGGTGTGATTTTGGTTTTTTGCCTGTTGACTCAATGCCATTTTCTTTACATTTAAAGTCATAAGTTACAATCAGGTCATGTTTTTTTCTCAATTTTTTTTCTTTTTTTTTGAACCAGGAATTGAACTCTGCACCTTACACTTGCCAGGCAAGCACTTACACCACTGAACTTTACCCCAAGCCCCAGGACATGTTTCTGAGCTGATGTCTTTGGATTCAGTGACACAATATCTAGATTCAAGTAATTTATTTTAGAAAAGCTTCCAGGAATACCCCTTTTAAATATTGGGTTAATTTCAATATTTTGTTCTTTTCTATACAGACACCCAGTTATTTCTTCATCTTAGCATTCTCTGTAATTGTCTCTTTCTCACAAAGATTCTTTCTCTGGTTTTTGGACCACTTTCTCCTCCTTCTCTCATTACTATCTTTTACCTCATTCGCAGCATTTTTGTTTGATCTACATGCTCTTGCAAAAGTTAAACTTTCTCATTCCTAAGGTGATTTTTATCTCTTAATTTTTTCTTGATTGCTATCAGCTTTTGTATCAAAACTCTCTATTGCTTGAACGTAACTTCTTTTAATTTTTCCTTTATGTTTAATGATGTTCTTCACTTTTAGTTCATCTTAGTATGTTTCACTGCTGCTTCTAATTTGCTGAAAATATGGATTCTTTCATTATGGGTGTGTGTATATGCCTGCTTTTTAGATGTACACAGGCATTTTCTTTTTTGCTATTGTGGTTCCAGTTATGGCAATTCTTTAAATTTTATTGTTATTTTCAGACCCACTACTAGCAAAAGAATTTTTGAGTAGTTGAAGGACTCAGGATGTGTTTGTAATTTATATTTTAGCTCTTGGAGCCCTCTTACATTTGAGCAGCCTCGTTCATTATGGCACGGTACTTTCTCCTTTTTTGTAATTTTGTCTGGACTGGGGATGTAGCTCCATGGTAGAGTGCTTGCCTAGCATGCATGAGGTCCCTGGGTCAATCCCTAACATTGCAACAAAAAAGAAGCAAAAAATAAACAAAAACACAAAAGTAAAAAACAGAGCACACACTCAAAAAAAATGTATAAATTTACCCTGTCTCGTTTGTCTTGCTTTGTGCTGAGTGGCTCCTTTTGTCTTCTATGGTGCCTACCCAACCCTTAGGAATCACTACCTGCCTATGGCCACTCATGGTCCAAATAAGCCTGTCTGGACTCTGCCATTTCCAGAATGTTTCTACAATTTCTGCTCTTTCGTATGGATCAGGTTTAATTCCTACATCAGTGTAAGTTCTGTTGCCCAATCTGCTCGTGTCACGTGTTTTCCTCCACCTGTTTCCACGTAAATTGCAGTCATGATGCCTTCTATGTATTATTGCTGCGGGACTTCCGTGTAGAGGACACTGAGACCTTGTTTCCAGGAAGCAGCATTATTTGTGCCAGTACTGACTCAGCAGGTTTGTATCCAAAGGCTGAGCATCGAACGTGGCTTAGTTGTACACTTTTGTACAATTTTTGTGTCTTTGTCTCCCTTATACGGGCATATGCTAACATCTACAGTCTGGTTGGGTAGACGTTAACATTCTAAGCCTCATTGGGTATGATTTATGTTGCCGAGTTACATCAGAACTACCCAGCCTTGGGGCTGGGGATTTAGCTCAGTGGCAAAGCGCCTACCTGGCAAGCGCAAGGTTGTGAGTTCGTTTCCCGGTACCGAAGAAAAACAAAAACAAAAACAAAAAAAAACAAAAGAACTACCCAGCCTTACACAGAGGCTGACATCACTACATTGTAAAAAGTTCCTGCCTGGACAGCTGGGGAGGGGCCCTACCACAGTAAGATTATGCTGTAGATTTCACAGGTGGTTACTTTTGTTTGTCTAGTTCTCTTGATTTTTTAAAAGGAGGTTTTTATTTATTTTTAAAATAATTTTATTGGTACATTTTAAATATACATAACAATCATATTCATCATAGGGAATTTGAACCGGTACATGTCCTTGTT